TTTCAATGTAAATAAAATTGTTGTTTCTTGCTGCGCAAGTGTACTTTTCTAGCTAAATTTTTGTATTCCAATATATCGCATTGCCATTTTAATATATTATATATTGGCAACGCATTGTTTTCATATGTAGATGGGGCGTATGAGTAACAAATACTCGTTTATGGTGGTTTGCATTAATTTGCTATGTATTTTATAATAAAAATTTTCAACATATCTGCAATTATTTGTTTGACCTTTTAATTCATGAGATATTTCAGTGGATGAGATATTATAATAACATTGGTAATTGTAGGGCCGGGACGTATGAGTAACATTTTAAATTGCATCCTTTCATTAACCTGCAGAGATATGTTAATCTCGGCACTTAATTTCTGGTTCTACTGTTTATCCCACAGCTTGCAGCGCTACACTTACTGAGAGTATTTGTGATCTTATTATTCTTAGAACGGCGTTGGGTTTCTGCTCGTGTGAAGAAAAGCTGATTATATTTTTATGGCTTGTAGTACGAATGAGATAATCCTAAAATACCGAATTTTTACTTCAGCATTTTTTTAGATAAAACTATATAACCACCTCAAATATCTACGGTTCTCACTCTAGAGCTGTCGCTAAACGCAAACGAGGCAGTTAGCAGGGATCGTGCAAGCCATTTTTTATATCAGTTACCGCTTTCTAGCCAAATATCGCCAACATTCGCGATTGATAAACTACCTTGTTTGGGAATGAGCACGATGTTTCTCTTTCACTGAATCTATATAAGTATTATTTTTGGTTTTTGCTAAGTTGCCACGACTACTTGTGCCATTTTCATTAAATATTACTGCCAGGTATCGACGATAAACCCGTACAAAAACATTGAAAAAATTAAAGAAAGATAAAAAATCATTAAGGTGGCAGAGGAGAGCAACTTTTACTAGATTCCATTAAGGACATCTAAGGCCTGAAAAGTCGGATTTGTTGGTTAAAATTTCAAAGGTTTTGTACAAGATAATGTATCGATACATTAAGCTATCATAATCTGAGATTTTTTTTTTAAACAAAATTAATACAAAAAACATTCAACACTACAATTCGCTGATATGGTTTTATATGCTTGTTTAGTGGAGTCAAAGATGTGGTATTTTATGCTTTTTGTATTTTTCACTTTATTAAAGCTCCTCATAGTAATGGGTATAGTTCTTAAATCAGAGAATAGAGATTTCAGAAAATATAAAGTTTACTGACTTTATTAAAAAATCTGAATCTATGACGTGAGAATTTTTGATTAAAAAAATTGGATTTTTTCGATTTTAAGTTGAAATAAGGTTTCCTTCTTAAAATTTCAAATAAAGAAAGTACAATGTGTTTAGGACATAAGAAGGTAAGTCTACATCAAATTTCATGAAAGACTGTTTTTTTTGAAAAAGCTAAAAATAAGAGTTCCAAAAACGTGGATATTTGAATTTTTAACATGCAATTTGGGATCATGTAAAAAATGTAAAAAACTGTGTATGCATATTAGCATTAGCAACAATTTTGCCATATAATTTGTTTTATATAGGACTCGTAATTTCGCTAAAAATCGGGATAAACCGTTTTTGACCCTTAAAAATTCAACCACGAGCCTCTCCTTCCTCTTCGCAATCTCAGATCGCTCGTATATTATTTTTTCCTTCCTTTTTGTTATTTTATCTTTCCTTTGATATTTTTTTGGTGTTTTTTGCTTTTTGAAATTATCCACCCTGGTCTCAATAAATTCTGTTCAGATGAAGGTTGTATATGCCATGAACGGATTTTTGAAGTTACAATTTTTTCGAAAATCAAGGCGAAGCAGTTCTGAAGTCAACTACTAAGCTAAGAATACAGCAACTACCTTATTTCACTAGTAGATACAAATTAAGTGGAAATTAATAAGGAAAATGCCAGTACTATTCCACCTTCCCAAAAATTTATCTTATTCGAATTTTCCTCCAAAAAATGCTCCTTTGTTGGCGATAATCCCTCAATATCTGCTTAAAGTTGTATCATCATAAATATTTCTTGTGGATTTCACTACAACCACATAGACAAGTAACAAGGCACTGCATCACCCTTTGGCTCTCTTTTAGCCCCTGGGTCTTTCATGCAATGTCGTGCCAAATATACAAGCAACAACAATGCTATCGTCCATGCAGTTGTCAGTGGCATATTACCGCTTATCTGTAATAGGCTGCTGTTGCACTAAATCGAAAGATTAGTATCTGCGAAAAGCAAACATTGAAAACTCAATTGAATTCGTAGCAAAATGCAATCATTTCATTTTTCCTGCATTTACTAAGGTTTGCACATGGAAAATTATATCTTGGCTGGCGCTGTGCATGAGGCATTTGTATGTGTGAGTAAGTGTGTTGTGTATGTGCGTGTGTTTGTTTGTGTTTTTGTTGCAAAATTTGATAGAATTTCATTGCGCTTGCTTATGACTTCCGCCGGCTGATAATCGCCTTTTCGAGTCTCGAAGATTTTTGTAAACAGATTATAAGTTGCTTGTGTATGTGTGGTGTTTTGAGTTGTGGTTATTTTGCAGAATTTTTTTTCAATTTTTTTTTTTTTTGAGTTATGATTGCCTTCACTATTCACGCCTGTGTCGGTCGGCTTGCTCGGCTGGCAATTGCGATATTATCGCCGCATTTTGCTATTTCTTTGCTGTAATTGAAAATTTTATATTTGGCAGGAAATAGTTTTTGCTATTTCTCTTTTGAATTGCTGGAATATTTTTCGTTATTCCTGCGATGAGCGCTGATAATTCGTTTACGGATTTATTACGCTTAACGGTGCACGAATTACGCTTCTTCTTTCAAAACGTAACAAAAGCTTGTTCACTCATAAAGAAAATTAAGCCACAATTGCGCGCTGTTAAGCTTTCTAGCAAAATTTTCGCTTACAATTAAGCTCAAAACTCTTGCCTGCCTGCGCTCATTCTTCTTTTTAATTAGTTGTATTACGTTGCTTTGTGCAATGAATTTGCCTTCAGCTGCAGTTTTGCCGTGCTGCGGTTGCACTTGAGCGAAAAAAACTTTTCAAAAGCAAGGTAGGTTAAAGAAAAATCAAAGAAAGAGCGGCCAAGAATCACCTTCATACGGAAATCATTAGGTGTGAATACGCAATTATGCCGCCACATCAGTTTTGCATTTCACCTGCCTGCTGCTTTGTGGCCCCCTACTCTAGTTAAGCGCAATGCAAGCGCTACAAGGACGAAAACAGCCATTCTTGTGCTGTTGTTGTTGTAGTTTTTGTTGTGCCTGCAGTCGAAAGTAGCAATTACTGGCAGATTAGGAGCCACTTCAGACTCTTTCAAAGCCACGCAATTGCCAGCTGTGGCATCGGTGTTGGTGTGTAGCACAACTACAACAAGCACATACATCTGTATGTGTGTGTGTGTGCTTCCCTTTAAGCATTCCATATGCACTCAATTTTGCATTGACACATGCAATCTGCAACTATTCCATGTGTGGCAAGCAGAAGAAAAAGTTATGCGCCAGCGGAAGGCGACAGGCGGCCGGCGGCTAGTCGCTCATAACTACATTCATTACTTTTACATTACTTTTACATTTCTTTGCAAGTTTTTTGTTTCTTTGCTCTTTCTTTTCTTTTTCTTAATTTAATGCCACATATATGCAGTATTGAGCGAATATTGCAACTCATTAAAAATGTTACACATTCCTAGTTTCTATTTAATTATTATAGCATTTATATACATATTTAGGTGGTTGGTAGTAACTTGAGTTGATGATTCCATATACATAAAATCCACATAAAATATGTTAAAAATTTTGCAATAAAGATATAAGCACTCCTTCGTACTTTAAGGTGGAGTTGAAATAAATTTAAATTTCTAACTGGAACATTCTGGGTTGAGCGTTGTTAGTTCAGGAATAAGAAATAGAAGAACAAATAAAAAATAAGTGTTTACTTTGGATGCACCAAAGCTATAATGAGCTTTACCGGAGACCATTTTTAAAACATAAAAGATTATGAAAAGATATTTTTCTTGATTTTAAACGGTCTGTTTGAATGACAGCTATATGCTATAGTAGTCCGATCCGAATAATACCTTTTGTGTTTATAGCAATGTCCTGCATAAAAAACTTTGCCAAATAAAACTTCTTGCTGAGAATAGGACATGTACAAAATATCATATCGTCGTCTCAAAACCACTAGCCCTTGGTTTGCGTTTATACAGACGGACAGACAGACGCGCATGGCTAAATCGACTCCGCTTGCCACACTGATCATTTATACCATATAAGGGTCATTACAACCAAAACTTGCACTCAGAAAATTTTTTCGTATGATAGATTTTTTTTTGGTATTCTTTGTGACAAAAGACATAATATGAAAAAGTTTTGAGTTATGAATTTTCAAAATTTTAACATTCAAAAAAGTACCTTTTAACATTTGCGTATATGAAGAAAAAAAATACGAAGTATTTCATTATAAAAATAACTAGCCAGCTCAATGTTTCCGATTTTTCTCAGCTTTTCATTGAGATATTTGTCTTATTAATATTTTTTTCTGAGTTAATTAATTTTAAAATTTTTTTTTCATTCGTTGTCTTTAAAACTGATTATCTGCTCGACCAGCGCGCACTTACACTTGGACTTGATTCATTTGTGTTCTACACAGCTTGTATTTTGGTGAGGCTCATATGACCGCTGTTTTAAGGCTTCAAAGTCTGAATAGTAGTTTGGAAATATGTATGTTCAACGAAAATATTTACAGTTTTGCCATATATTGGCGATAATGCTAGGCCTGAATGCTATTTAGTAAAAGAACTTCCAACACATTTGACAATATTTCAAGTCTACCGAAGAAAACATAATATCAAATAAACCAAATATTATTGCAAGCTTATTTTATAAACAACGACCAACCTAATGCTTAAATAACAGTCACATATTATATTTTCTTTCCCACTTGCATTTGGTATGCGCTTTACATTTTTTACTAACGATGTGTATTTCTTCGCGTTCATTTAATTACAGTGTTAGAGTCAGATCCGCTTCTATTGCGTCGCGCTCGACATGTCATAACGGAAACGCAACGAACACAAGACGCGGCTGAAGCCTTAAAGGCACATGACTTCACAAAGGTGAGTGCATGCGATTATACATTTTAATTAATGCTTGCGTGTGAGTGCACATATATAAACATAAATAAATATACAAACGAGAATATATAAGTAAATACTTGTAGAAACATTATCTTTGCAGCAAGCGTGGCTTTAATACAAATATTTATTTGGTAACTTAAATTTTGGTAAATAATTTTTTTAATGATTTATTTTTGTGTAGAATTCTTCATATAATTATAAATTATTCATTATAAAATTATATTTAGTATATTTTGTTTCGATTTTATTTATAAATTCATCTTTTAGTTGGTTAGGTGTTGTCAGAGAATTGAAAAATTACAATTTTAAATAATATTTTTTTGGCAGTAAATTATTTTATTTTATAAAAGTAAAATCACAGCAGCATGGAATAAGGGTTGAACTTGACTTGACAGAATTAAAAAAAAGTTGAATGATTTTAAAAGTAATGGAACTTTGTCTTGATTCAGTTCTAACCGATGCTGCTGCTTGTTGAAACCATCATTAATGCTTGAAGATTCTTCTAAAATCAATGAGAAAAAAATATCGGATTTCCTTTAAGTTTTCAAAGAATATTTCTTAGATTTTATGTAGTACTTTAAGAGACATTCTGACAATTCTGACAACTCCTAACCCCCTTATAGTGGCAGACTCTTCTTAGTAAGTGTGGTTTCCTGATGAGTTTGTAGACAGATTTTCTAATATTAGTTTGTGTTAAACTTTTTTTTTTTAGTAAGAGCCTCAAAAATATTTACATCACAAAGTTGCAGACTTTTCTTAGTAAGTCTGGTTATTGTTCAAGCTGAGCTTGTAGACAGATTTACTATTATTAATTTGAATAAAATTGTTTTGTTGTTAACATATAACACATTTTATTAAGAGCCTAAAAAATATTTACAACACAGTTGACTTTAATGACACATTTCTATTATTTTCTCAAATTTTTCATAATCGTGAGTATTCTATGGGAAAGTTCGGAACTAAAAAAGAATCACTTAGATAAAATTTGAAATACTGTCGAAAGGAGCTCAACAACAACTTTAACGATATAAAAATATGTCAATTTTGGAATTTTTCAACATGTAGTCGACAGTGACATACGCGGCGTATACGTAATGCTCAGTTTAATTATAATATAATAATATATGAATATGTTCCTCATCTGCAGAAAAATTTCATTAAACAGTTCCTTATTGACGACTGCCTAATTATTTTCTAAGGAAATCTGTTTTGAGAAATGAAAACTCTATGAAAAGAAGCATTTGCTCATTTCCAGCTTTAAATTTGTGGTAAGAGAAACCTCAGCACTTTCCAGTAATGTTAGATGAATAGTCAAAACAATTCAAATACATATCTTCACTCTGGTTTTCTAGCAAGCACAACTCTTTTTCACTTCCAAACAAAGCCTACAAATCCGAGTCTCTGACTTCAATTAAAGCCACAGGCCACACAGCAAACCGACAGCGAATTTGGCATTTCCAGCATTTCGTGACCCCGGCGCCTGTAACTATCGGCTTATACTAATCTTTTGTGGCTGTGTGTGTGTGTGCATTTGCATGTGATTGAAGTTTAACAATAATTGCAGCACATTCAGTGTGAGCGGCGCATGCAAATCATGTGTGTGTGTGTAAGTAGAAGTCGTAGTACAAAAGAGCAATGCTCATTAGCTTCAAATTACACACGTTTGACCTCACATGAACTGCAAGCTGCTTAGGGCGAAGCTCTTTTCAGAAGCAGCGTGAAAATTTATGCTCACAGCCACATACCAGATTTCTATGTGTGTGTGGTGTGCTTTGTGCAGCAGCTTGATTTTTTGGTCTACACAACTACTAATTAAAATAGAGTCTGATGGAGAGGGTACCTCTAATGAAAAAAGTGTGTGAGCTGGGATTGCCTTATAAAAGAAATAAAAAATCACTAATTTTCAAAAACCGTAGTTTCTGTAAATAAAAATCGGCTAATAATCTGAGCAGTGAGCGAGTAAAAATTTGCATGCATTGAGTAAAAAAGAAGAGTACACCTAGTATGCACAAATGAAAGTTCGATAAAATCAATTTTTTTTTTACAAGTTTCGATAGACTATATATACCTCTAAAATATTTCATATCTTTTTTTAGTTAAAGCTTTTTAAAGTATAGTTCAGTCAGTTATCTCTGCGTTTTTCAACATGTATCACCTAAAAATAATCGATTTGAATATAGGCGGCAAAAAAGTAAGGACGAGAAGTAAATTGGTATAATCGGACCACTGCCACGTCTACAAAATGCCATTATAAGAATCCCTACCGATCCTACCACTCCCGATATAACGGTGGTATCAGAAGTCTTTATAGGAGCTGGGATCAAACTAAGACAACGGGCGTGACCCCGCCCACATTTAAGAGAAAACCCATATCTCGGAACTTGATCGACCGATTTCAACTAAATTCGGTAGGTGGCATTATTCTGACATTCCTATATTACATTCTAAAAATAGGCAGCCAAAAGCCACGCCTACTTCTCGTATAACACAGTTTTAAATTTCATCTGATTTTTTCACTCTCCAGTATACAAAACAAATTTTGCAAAAATAGTGTCTTTGAGATGTACAATCTTTTGACTAAAATCTGTTCAAATCAGGCCAAAACTGTTTCAGTCCCCAGGTACCGAATATATGAACCCCAGTTCATAGTGCGAACTTATAGTCGAAAATATTGGCCAAACTGTGAGATATATTATACTAACTCAGAGATACTTATCTGGTAATAATATGGATGTGCGCCAAAAATGAGTTGAATCGGATTAATAATTCTTTTGGTTTTCATATATTAACCTAATGGAAAAATTTTCGAACTTCCAGCTGACTTTACTCCATTTAGTGTAAGTCGAATAAAAATTAAATTATTGATTTTGATTTTGGAAATTCATTTTGACTTCAAAAATATCTACTTCGAGTACTAGGAATTAAATACTTTCTTATTTATGAACTGGATTTGGAATGGATAGTAACATGATTAGTGAAAAAAAAAAAACTAAAATTAAAGACAATTTTTAAATTTACCATGAAATTCGTAATTCCGCATACCATGTGCTCTAATGACCTGCATGCCATGCCTAGTATTTGCATTGGGGAATCTTCAATTACAACATCAAACACAGCGCCTTTGTTCCGTCAGCTAATTCTTGTATTACTAATTGGTAGACCTGCAACTGGAGAGCCCTCTCAGCGCTACTCTCACATTATCACTGCGAGCATCATTTCATTTTTTTGGGGCAAACTATGCGCCCACATACCAACTGGCACACTGAATACCCACTCATGTGTGTATATGCTGCAATGCACTCCATCACGGCGTGTGAGCTGCTTGGCGCTATGCCTCACTTGAGTTTCTTTAAAGCTTGTTTTTTCACACCCTACACTTTTTTTGCATTGCAATGACGCTCTTTTGTAATTTTCGCATTTAATATAGCGCTAATAGGCTCTATCAAAGGCAACGGTATGCTCTGCAGTGGTGCTCGTGAACTGCAGCGCCGGAGTTGTATAAAATTTGATATGCAAATATGGCAAACTATTTTGTAGAGAGCGGTGGAGTAACCAATCGGGAGGTGTCTTTCAGACAAATGATAACGTATGTGCCACACTATGTATATATTCATGTGTATTTATGTGTTTGAGTGCCTATTCAAGTCTGCAATCAGCGAATTTGATTTACTCAACACCTTCACACAAGGTTCCCTCTTTCGTATATTTGTATCGAGCAAAAAATGTAGGGTGTACAAAATAAAATTTAAATTTAAAGCAATATTTTATTTTAAATATGAGATTTTATGAGTACATGTTGATAAAAAACTCTGTTCCCACTTCATACGAATTTATATCGAATAAATTTATTGGTTAATTTATTAATATTATATTAATAAAATTTTCACTTGTTTGTGTCACCCTGTTCCGCACAATTTCTATACCATGGTACACAGCGCTTAAGCAATTTCACGGTTCAACAACTTGTCATTGGAAACTGGCGCCCGATGGAAGGTATGTGTATGCTTTCAAATAAATACGATAAAATTTACCATATGGCAACCTGATAAGCTTAAATTAGTCCGTATAATTCGCTAGCGTGTTCGTTAGTGAAGGTATGTGCGATTCTTTTGTTTCGTTGGCATATTTCGTGTGAAAAGCAATGGTGTCAGGGAGGGTAGTAATGGATGAAAGAGCAGGCGCCAATAAGCGAATATTCCAGTTACTTCATTACAATGTGGCTTAAAAGGATTTTTGGCTTTTTATTCAGTGAATAAAGTGCATTCATACTATTCTCAAGGTAAAATTCCAAATTTTGGATGGTACTATGGAACTCTTCCTGACATTTCGTTGAAAGAAAATTTCATTATTTAGTTTTTAACTTCACTGTTAATGAACTTTCTGATTGCCACTTCATGCCTGTCACCAAGTATAATTAAAGGTTTGTAAGAAAACCTCGAAGAATGCAACTTTTTACAAAGCTTGTTTAAAGTAAATTTTGTTTCGATTTGTAAGTTTCGAAGATTGTAGTGATGCTTTGGATAATAACCTATAGCGAATTTCGTAAAGATACTTTGCCAAATTAAAACGTTTTCCATACAAGAACTTGAGTTTGATCGGTCAGTTTTTATGTCAGCAGTAAGCTATTGTTTTTCGCTATCGGCGTTTTCGACAAATGTGCATCTATTTGGTGAGAAGAAGGCTTGCGCAAAAGTTCAGATTGATATCTCAAAAACTGAGGGAGTAGTTTGCATATATATAGAACATACGGATATAGCTAAACCGACTCAACTCATCACCCGGATCATTTATACTACCATCGATGTACTATATAAGGTCTCCGACGTTTCTTTTTGCTTGTTACAAGCACTGTTCAAGGTATAAATATGGTATTATGTATAGTTAGATTTAACAAGTATGGATCAAAAATCCTTCCAAAGGAGAGTTATGTTAAATAATAAGTATAGATATACTTCTTAAACTCAGACGAAACTACCTTATTACCCAAACAGTCAGGCAAGGTGAAAATGAAAAAAAAACCTCTCCAAAAAAAAAAAAAAAAACACACACGCACAAACACTAATATCAAAAACAACCATCTAGTTTTTGACTTTAATCTACCAATCTGGTGTAATTAATGACGTCCATTGGCCACGCTGGCTGCTAAATGCCTTTTGGGCAACAAGCGAAAAACACTTAACACGAGTGCGTGAACCGTTAACCAGCGAATGGAATGCGAAAACACGAAAGATCACAAGAAAAAAGTGACTGATGTCTGTGTGTACGCAAAAGAGAGAGTGAGTGAGTGGATGAGTGAGAGTGAAGGAGCAAGGGGTGCAGGCTGGTAGATGTGGCAAATAGACCGAGCAACGGAGCCGACGGAATTGCTGCGAACAAAAGAAAGATTAATTACCAGTTTGGCCTGTCGCAGGCCCCAAGGGTCACGCTGAGTGCGTGCATCAAATTGGCATGAATGCGTGGAAAGAGCATGTGTAATAAGCGGAAGCTCAAAGTGAATGCGAAAGCGCATATGAAAGTTGGCCAACTATTTGAGTATGGCTATACGGGTCGGTTCACACCTATATATGTAATTAATTTGGTAAAGCTGTATTTTTCAATTAGATAATAGTTTTAATATGCTTTAATAGAAAATATGCTTTTGCACCATTCAGTTTAATTTAATTTATTTCACTTTAAATAGAGAATAAAAGGAGAATGTTAGAACTACTTTACTAAGCCTTTATTGAATTGTATAAAAGTGCATAACTTGCATTCTCAAGCAATTTCATAGCAATAAACTTGATCCAATATACTCGCCTTACGCCTAAACTTTGTATTATTATACGCATTTGCGCTGTCGCCGCCCACTTTTAGCAGCAGTTGTCTATAGTTGCCTTGGTAATAATAAGTAAAAGCTAATTTCCGTTTCCGTTGGAGTACGTGAGAGTTCAGTTACGTTACATACACATATCATTTTTAATAGCCGTAACCCAGTAGAAAAGACCGCAGGATATATACTTTTTTTTTAACCAGTGTGACAAAGTGCTTCTTGTAATCGATTTTTTTTACGAAATATGTTTTTATGTATTTTAAAGAAAATTTAAAAAATTTGTGGGGGTAAAATGTGTGTGCAATACTTAGCTTTCCGGCAGAGTACCAGCAATGCTTTCAGACCATATTTTAATTGCGTTCGAATATATTGTATTTATGACTATTGTATAGAATATTATAATATTGTGCGGCTAATAGTTGGTTGCAGTATTTGCATACTATTTGAGCTAGATAAGAGTAGATAAATAGGGCTATGTATGTAAAAATGATCAGGAAGACTTAAGGGCTTATATCCATTTGCAAGTCAGAAAAGATTAATTTTTTTGTGATTTTTTTTGAAGAGCTATTTTATTTAATAAATAACTAAAAAATATGCTTTTACAGAAATATATATGTATAATAATTTCAGCTAGTAATTGTTTTACATTCGGCAGCACACGAACTTAGCTCCTTCTTACTTGTTTTGTTTATTTTTCTTGTTTTATCTTGCTGTATTTTTTATTGCTTGATATAATATTTGCTTCTGGTATTTGTACTTGTCGGTAAATTGCACCTTTCATATATTGCCTTAGTGTTAAGTTATTGCCACTTACTTAGTTGCTTTTTTATAGCTTCGCATGGTTTTGTAAATAGCATATTAAAAACGTAATAACTTATTGCTACTTCAGTTAGCTATACACATGTTTATTTATTGGCTGGAGTTAGTAATAGAAAACCGCTTTTGGACCATAATACCACTATTTGATTGACTTTACGTTGCCATGACAAAAATGCTAGTCTATACATAGTAAATAGAAAGCCGAGTAGGCATTGACGTTCATTATTATATCTTGAATAGGAAACGTCGGAGACCGTATAAAGTATATACATATATAAATGACAGCGTGACGATCTGTGTCGATTTAGCCATGTCCGTATGTCCTTCCGCATATACGCAAATTTGTCCCTCAGTTTTTGATATATGGACCGGAAATTTTGTACACGTTCTTTTCTCACCAAGAAGCTGCTCATTTGTCAAAACTGCCGATATCGGAAACTATAGCATACTGTTGACATACAAAGTGAAAGATCAAACTCAAGTTTATGTATATAAACCTTTTTTGTATTACAGGGTATATTCACAAAATTTGGCGTATATAATTATTCGATGTATAACTAGAAGTTCCGAAGAAATTGTCCTGATCGGTCAACTATAGCATATAGCTGCCATATAAACTGACCGATCAAAATCAAGAAAGAGAAGTTTTTATACTCTTTTTTGCTATAAAAAAGCACTTGTGAATAGTGGTATTATAGTTTCGGTACAGCCGAGCATTTCTTCTCTTGTTTTTAATATGCATCGTAGTATTACTTGACGTAATTTTATTGTACAGAAAAGTGCTCCTAAATACTACCATACACTATACGCTATTTATATAAATACAAATTATTCGGTAAATTTTTCCAGATCATACTATTATTAATAATATACAAGTATAATTTATTATATTATGTAATATACTTGTATGGATAACCAAAAGGTATTTTGAACCATTAAACTCTAAACAACCTTAAAAGTCTGCAGTTATTGAAGTACTTCAATATAAGCGCTTATGTCACCCTGTACAACAGCAAATAATTTAATTTTTACTCACACGCAGTTGCATGCATTTTTACACACACACACACAAATCATGTGCCAATTGCTATTTACTTATGTATTTCCGCAATGTTTTATTTTCTTCCATATATCCCGGTAACGTATACGCCATGGATGCCTGCTACGTGCTGCCAACGCATTTGCCATTAAATGCCGCTGTTGTGTTTCATTTCGATCGCCATTACTCTGCCTTGGACGCCGCTGCCTTCCCCGTTGGCCACCAGATGGGCGCACTAATGAAAGCGTCACATACATCACTACGTGACGATTTCGAAGTATCCTGCCGTGAATTGGACGTCCTGGTCGATGCGGCCATTAATTGTTCCGGTGTTTTGGGATCACGTATGACCGGCGGTGGCTTTGGCGGCTGCACCGTTACGCTGCTGCAACGCGTTGCGGTCGACAATGTGATTGCGACGATGCGTACAAATTTCACTAAAGAATTCAATAAAGACGCCGCTGAACGTTTGGAATTCTACATGTGTGTACCCAGCAATGGGGCGAGACGTGTCGATTTGTGAGACGACGCGCGGTGATAATATGAGCATTGCTGGAAGAAAGTTCTGTAAATACGTAAAGTAGAAAAATAAACAACAATAACAAAGATATTAATAATATAAAGAACTTGTACAAAGACAGCAATGCATTTGACTTAATGTTTGGTGTAGCGACGTCAGATTTAATTGTAAGTTGGCTTGTGTGGTCGCTTTAATTTGTCGTCGAACACGTAGCTAGTTTAATGTAATTTAAAAATAAGGTTGGGAATTTATATTTTTATGTATTTAGTAGTGCAGTAGAAAGTATTAGAGCATTAGATAACTTTTGAGGGCTTATAAGCAACGCAGGTTTAAATTTAGATTTTGAGTAAGCTTACATTACTCGCTTTAGATCCACGAATCTCAATAGCTTGTTTCATTACAAAACATATACCATATTATAAAAGGTTAGTTCATTTCGCTAAATGGAAATATGTTTTATATATCACATTACTATTAGCTTTTGTTAATTTCAGTACCAGTAGAGATACGTTGACTGCTGGAAAGTTTTTGAGTAAACGGTTGACTGTTTGAATAAAGGTAAGCATTATACATTGTACTCAAAGTGCTTAAAAATTCTTCCGAATATGCAAACATTCAATTTCTATCAAACAACGATGCCTATCGGTATGTTTTAGAGCAGTGGTTACCAAACTTTGTGGTCATAAACAGTTTTCCAAATGTTTTTTACTTGATCAGTATGGCGGCAAGACTTCTTTACATCATAGTTAAAAAATTTATTTATTGCACTAACTTAAGTCCCAATATTAATAAGGTTGATTAACGTTAAACGTGATAGATTGAAATATCAAATGAGAAAATGAGTAAGAAGTTATTAAATGCAAAAACAAAAATAAAAGAAGAAACGTTAAATTCGTTTGGACCAAAAAAATAATACCCTTCACAAATACAAGAACTTTATTTTGAATTGTATGACCACTATACGCTATGGTGACCTGATCTGAGCAATTTCTTGGGCGATTGCACTATTATCTTAAGAAATAACAAATGCCAAATTTCATGAAGATATCTCGTTAAACGAAAAAGCTTTCCATATAAGCACTTGATTCCGATCATTCAGTTTGTATGGCAGATATATGCTATACTGGTCCGATACCGGCCGTTCCGATAAATGAGATACTTCTTGGAAAGAAAAATATTTGTGAAAAATTTCAAAATAATATCTCAAAAACTAAGTTACCTTCGAGTATATACAGACAAACAGACAGACATGACTAAGCTAGTCATGCTGATTATTTAAAAACATATATATTTTATAGGGTCTCCGACGTTTACTTCTAGGTGTTATAAACTTCGTTACAAACTGAATATACCCTGTTCAGTGTACAAAAATTTGTAAATTACTGTGGCTTAATATAAAATACCACCATTACAATATTTTACCGCATGGAAAATAATATGAATGCAATTTCCTTGTTTATATGTGCTATAAACCTGACCTTGGATCACGTGAAACTTATTTTATAAAAAGTATGGGTGAGCCTTTAACACCTAACTGCTTTAGAAGTGATAGCTATATGTGATCAAATATAATATTTTATGTCATTTACCGATCGCTCAACTAACAATTTATCAAAACTGCAGATAAATACTAGTGCTATCTGTATACAATATATACTGGACCACAACTAAAACGTCCCCTAAAAGTATGTTGTGCTTTTTAACAAATTTAATGTTGCTAAATGAAATGTGAAATCTATATTGTTTGAGCAACATCACTCATTACAAGTTCTACGAACAAAATTAAAATAAATATTTTTTTACTTTAATCTTTTTTGTTTGTAAATAAGTAGTGTTTCCTCGAATAAATTCACTTAATTTATCAAATTCAACTTTTAGTTTAGGAAGCCTGTATCTGCTTTACTTAAATTAATTTGAGCTATACTTTTCTCGTAATAAATCTCACTGCTGTTAATTCTGAGCGCCTTTTTGTATAACTCAATAGCAAAAAACTCTCTAAAACATAAGCATCTCATGTACGGCAAAATAAAAGCAGATTTTATTTTTATAAATTAGAACGCAGAAGCTGATGAAAATCAAAGTGAGCTAGCGAACAAAATACTACACAATAATAAGTAACATAGTTTTGAACAATAAAGTTGGACAATCGAGAAAACCTGCGCGTTCAAATTTCAACGCTGTGAAATGAAGCTCCAAGTGAAAACTTTGAAGGAACTTTGAAACGAAGCTATCAAAATTAAAGTCAAACCAATGAAGGTAAGCAAGGTAAGATATAAACTTAAAAAAAGGCGATAAGTTTACTATAAACTTCTAATAATTTTGGATATATTTTTCAATGCCATAAAAATTATTACTTTTATTATCTTTTTTCTAGCTGTATTAGAGCTTAACATACTAAACTGTAACAAGTTGAGGAATAAGAATTGCATGCTTTACAAATTTTGTAAGTTTTTTTTAGAAAGCAAGTGGCAGTGAAAATATACAAATTAGAAATTTCGCGGTGATGCTTATTTTCCAAAAAGCGAATAAAATAAAGAAAATTTGCTCGGTCAATGCTGGTAAAAAAAGCCTCTTTAAAGGTAAAAGAGCATACGTTTTATAAGCTTCATGACAGTTCTAGTATTATTGGGAGAAATGCCTTAATTTTTTTTAACATCGTTTGAATGAACAGAATGTATCTCACCTTTTTTGTACGTTTTAGACCTTGAACAGGGGATATTAAGTTTACCACAAAGTTTGTAACATTCCGAAGAGAACTTCGGAGATTATATCGTATTGGAACATTATAGCATACTGGCCGATCAAAATTAAGTTCTTGTGTTCAAACTTTTATGTGAAGGGTAAGGGTATTATACATCGGAGATAACTTTTTTTCCTGTTTAAAGTAGATTTTACTTTAATTTGACAACATCAAAAAATCGCAGTGAAGCCTTAGTCATGCTTTAAAAGCAACAGGTTAGAATCGAGCCTTGATTACAAAGGAAAGAGTTTGTTGATCCACGCTCACGTCAGCTTTGCCACAAGAAAATAATACTGCCACATTGCCAAACAATCTTAAATATCTTGGTTTAATACTAGACAGATGATTAATTTAATCAACTCACATCAAGCACATAAGAAAGCAGTTAAGCGTGAAGCTCTGGCAATAACTGGCTACTTGGACACAGATTTCAGCTAGACTTGAGAACAAATAGACTTATGAGATTAAACTATGAAGTATAGCTTCAAGAGTTCATCATTATAATACTGAAAAGATTTCTAAAAAAGATCTTGCTTGTATTGGTCAAGGCTCTCAACTAAGTTAAGATAGTATCATCTAAAAGTTCAGCATCCCAACCGCTTTCAAAATTGCAAAAATGTGACAGTCATCAAAACAGTATCAAGAACGACGCTACTGAAAGATAGCGCTCATGGTAGGTTACCACTGCTTTTCAAAATTGCTCAAAAATGGGTCGCTCTTCCTTTCAGCTCTCTTATAGCGAATGCATACCAAATTTCTCGGGCAATATATGAGCTACCTTAATAAAATCAAGTGGATGAACTTAATGTAATGATGTGATGGTAATAGCTTTCAATGTTGTAGTTATACTATCCTTCTTTGAAAGTTTCTGGACATTTTAAAGTGATTTTCCATATTTATTTTAGTGCGAAAATTTTCTTGTTGCCTCTAATGTTCTCTCTAAAATATTAATATTTTTATTTTACATATACTTGCGCATTCAATACAATTGTTTTACAGTCCACTGATTTTAATACTCGCATTCTTGTTAGTTCAATTTTTTGCTTCTCTCTCTCTTTATGCGCGAATTCTCGTATGACAAATAACTTAAATTTCACACTGAATGCTTTATCATCATGGTAAAATGCACAAACTCCATGAAGAATCGTCAACAAAAAAATTGATGACCCTAACTCCTGTAATTAGTGAGACAAGCGAGTGCGACGATATGCACACTAACCCTAGGTACAAATATGATACACACATCTGTATTTGTAGTATTTGTGTAAAAGTAATCAACGGTATAAAAATGTGTTGCGTCAAATTCCTGTGTTCGTCATTCGCGCACACAACGGACTGTTTATGGAATTTCGCGAAAAGTATTAAATAAATAAAGGAGCCGAGCACCAAAACAATTGATTGCAAATATCAAAATTGAATTTCTTTATTTTTGCACTAAAAAAAAGTTGCGCTTGTCTGTATGTATGCTATGGAAGCAGACGCGCAAAAAATAATTTCAAATACGTTGTAGTAAATTTAATATTTGAAAAAGAAATATGGCAGCTGTCATTTCCATAGTGTCCCTGCTAAGGGAATTGGTTGTACAGTGGCGATGAATGTGGCGGTTGTTCACAGTGTTGCCATATTGATAGTTTTGGTTGAATTTTGAGATTTAATACTGTTAGTGGATAAGAGAACATAATCGTAAAAATAAATTAATGGTAAATCATCGAGAGGAGAAAAGAAGCCCATCTGTCCTAATCGACGAAGAAATACAAAATTTTTCTTAAACTGACATTGAGTATTTTTAAGCTATATGTTGTTTTTGTAGCGGCAGTAAACATCCTGAAGTAATTTGAAGGAATGCTGCCGAGTTGACAGTCCTTGGTTGGATAAAAAGCTCTGTTCCGGCTACTTAAACAAGACTGTAGTTGGAATGGATTTTATAAACTATATTTTAATGCTTCGTGAATCTATTTAGAGTGTTCATACATCTACGTCCTTCATAACATGCCTTTAGCGATCTGTTTGAAGTAAGCAACTTATTAACAACTTGAGCGAAGTTTCTTTTAGTTTGGTTGTCTATTTGGTAGATCTATATATCCGAATTAGTTCAAACTTATAGCATGAGTGCTCGCAGCTAAAGGTTTAGTTTGTTTAAATTTCAACTAACATCAATGAAGAGATTTAAGTCCCTCAAAACTTGGGAGTATTATTTTTATACTTTTTCATGGCATTTAAAGCAATATCGTGCAGTTTCTAATAAATTTGGGGGCATCTTTTCATCGTTACAAACACGAATAATAAACTATTATGCATTAATAAAACTTGCGAAATATTTTTCGCTTTTATCTTAGAGGCAATGAAAATGATTTTAAGGGGTTAAAGGTAGTCAGAATTT